TTTTTAACAGCTGTTAGGAGACTACAAACTAGCGACTCCTGGGTGGCTCAGTCGGTTAAGCGTCTGCCTTGGGCTCAGGTCATGATCTCAGGGTCCTGGGATTGAGTCCCACATTGGGCTCCTTGCTCAGCGGGGAGTCTGCTTCTCCCTCTGCTTGTGCTCTCTCTCCTTTTAAAAAAAAAAAAAAGGAGACTACAAACTAATGATTTTGGACTTAAAGATGTTGAAAACTAAAAGTTTTAAGAGTAAAATTTTAAATTTTTGGTATTTAAGAGAAGGATTTTTAATTTTTTTTTTTAAAGTAATTTTATTTTTTTTTTTTTAAAGATTTTATTTATTTATTTGAGAGAGAATGAGAGACAGAGAACATGAGAGGGAGGAGAGTCAGAGGGAGAAGCAGACTCCCCGCCGAGCAGGGAGCCCAATGCGGGACTCGATCCCGGGACTCCAGGATCATGACCTGAGCCGAAGGCAGTCGCTTAACCAACTGAGCCACCCAGGCGCCCCAGGATTTTTAATTTTTTAAAGAAAGAAAAGATCTTTTGTCTTTCTCAGAAGCATACCATTATCATCATTTTATGTTTCTTAAGACCATAAAATCCTTGATGGCAAGAACCATGTCATGTGCTGCTTCTACATCTCACATATAATAGAAGAAAATATATACCCCATAAGTATTTTGATTAACAATTTAAACCTAAATCTAGTTGATATAACTCATCATATTCTATAGTAGATGCTTTATTAAAATGTATTAGAGAAAAATGTATGTATTAAATGATACTGTATTGTTAACTTAATATGTCATACCTTCTGATTAATGATGGAAAAAAATCCTTAAACCCCCACAATAAAATCATGGGAGATACTATGTCTTTTACAGTTATGTATTTAATAAAATTTAAATGTATAATTTCAACTTAAATATATGATAACGTTAGCAATGTTTTTTTGTACCCCCACCTTTTTTGTTCATTCCAGATACGATTAAAGTTATCCTTAATTTGATAATTACTGAATACATGTAGGAAGCTGAGGTGGGCTATAAGATCCATCTGACCAGAGTGCTGTGAACAAAGACACAGGGGCAAGGAAGAACTGAAATATATTTGTATAATGGTAATAGAAAATATTAATTTCTTGAAATCAGCAAGTATGTACTGGAAGTCTTATAGTGGAATGAGACTATGATTTTAATAAACATGTGAAATTGAAACACGACACTGACACATTAAGCAAAATGTTCATCAATAAAGTTTTGATTCTTACCTACATATTATAAAGGGGGTTTTTTGGAGTGTTTGATATAAAATGCACAGCTTAGTATATGGCATTTTCTAATTTATACTACGCCCTGACACTGTTAAAAATACAGAAGTTTAAAAAAAAGTTCTTATAAATCATCTTACTGAGAAAAGAAAACGTTAAAAACAAAAGATAAAACAAGACCATATATAACATACTGGAATTCAAAGCACAGAATTAGGTAGAGTAAAAGAATAGCAACTGTTTTTACTCTCAGAAAATGCAAGTAAATATCAGACTTTATTACTGGTACTTAATACACTGCTCACGTGGGCTTTCCTACAGAACTGCTGTTTTCTAAACTGGTTTTCTATAATCAGACTTTATCTCACTCATTTTTAAACATTCTTTATATTTTTGGGTTTTGTTTTTTGCCCTTCTGAACTAATATACTAAAAACCTCCTTACAGTGTTTATGGGATCTTACATTATAAGTCAGTTTATTTTATTTCTTGCTCAGACTCCTAAAAAATGACATGTTGCAAATACTGAGCTTGGCGCTGTTATACATTCTGTCTTTTCACTAAAAAGCAAAGTATTTAATGAAAGATACTATAAGGTAGTATAATGAGAGTCATAGAGAAAGTAATTAAATAATTAAGCAAATGGGCCTTCTGACCTGAAGTTTGAAATATTTTATTTTCCAAATAATTAACTTTCTAGTTAACTTTCCAAAATATTATTGGGAGAAAACTTGCCCTGAAACCTAACTTGTGTTAGATAAACTTACTGATAAACTACTGTTTATAAATTGCTATTTATAGACATTTTTAAGTAATTTCTAGCCTGTACCTCTAATTCCAATGTTTCTAAAACATCTGTTAAAGTTTTTTTTTTTTTAATTTTTTTATTAACATATAATGTATTATTTGTTTCAGGGGTACAGGTCTGTGATTCATCAGTCTTATACCAATTCACAGTGCTCACCGTAGTACATACCCTCCCCAGTGTCCATCACCCAGCCACTGTTAGATAAAGTTTAACATAATTTTATGTACTGAAGAAAATAGGCCTGTAAGTTTATATTGTTTAGATAATAGTTTTCATTTAGCTCTCCTCTAACAGCAACCATGTCTTCTAGTTCTTAGCAGAATGCCTTGCACAAAAACTGACCTACTAAATACTGATTTTTAAATTATGAGTCTACGGATTATTGTTTTAATCTGTTCTTGGTTGTTAAATATAAGGAGTTCTATAAAAAATTAACATGTATAAAGGTGGTGCTAATGAATCTTCTAGAAGTGCAACTGGAAGATAAATCATCAGAGGACTCTCTACCCTTCCCTTAGAAATCCCTCATTTCTTATCGTTCGCTCTCAGGTCAATTGTTACCTGCTCAGAGAAGCTGTTCTTCTAACCACCCACATCTCACACTGAAAACTCCTCTTCCCCGCTTCCAGGCCCAGGTTGCATATCCCTCTCCCCTTGAAGCCTTCCCTGATTCTCCTGTTTTCCCCTCTCCCTGCAGATTGAATTCTTCCTTCCTCTGTACTCAAATTCATTAATTCATTCAGTTAAATGTTCAGTCACTCACTCAAGAAATAATAGGACCACCTACTCAGTCCTCTGTCCACTGTCTTTTTATCTTTATATTCTTATTATCAAATTATTGTTTGTTGTCTGCCCCATTAAAATGGGAGCTTCCTAAGAGCAGAAACCTGTTTTTTCTGGCTGCTGAAACCCTTGTGCTTAGAATAGTGCCTGGCACATATGAAGGTGCTTAATAAATATGTGTTCAGGGAGTGAATCAAATAAACAAATACTCTTCACATAAGTAGGGCTCAAATAAACAAACAAATATACTTTCTTATTAAGGTGCGAAGTTAAGAATTTTTCTCTACTGGTAGATTATCCTTTATAGGTGATGTTCACATGGGTATATTCCCCCTTTTCTTTCCCTTCCATTGGTTGCTTTACCTGAGAGAGAATCTATTTAACCATTAGAGGTAGACTTTGAACATGTGAAATTCTAATCTATCCCTCTTTAGAGGTCTATAGCCTCAAATTTTCAGGGATCTGTAGAGAATACCACAGTTCTCTCTCAAAACTGAAATTGCAGTAGTTACCCAGCTGACCTTGGCATCAGGGTTTTGATCTTTTGCCTAATGCATCTCCTATTCCCATCCTCAGTTACAGTACACTGCAAGACTGTGGTCTTAGGCAGTAGCTTTGGAAGTGCTATTCCCCGTTCCACCCACTGGGTGAGGGCTTGGCTACAGGCCAGTCTCAAAAAGACCTAAGGCTTTACAAAAGCTATTGAAGCATTTATTTCTAGCCCCTGAACAAGACCTTCAATGGGGGGTTGTAACCAGACTCTTAAGAATAACATTCTAGAGGACTTTTTAGCTAAAATTGTTAACTGATAGTCAACAGAAAGTATTCGACCAATAAGAAGGATGCTAAAAGAAACAGATAATAAAACTCAGAAAAATGGAGCAGCAGAAGATATTTTAAGAAATGAAAGGGAAGAAAAAAGCAAGGTAAACATTATATTCTGTTAGCCAGAAATGAGTCATGACTAATGAGTATAGAATTAGTGCTAGTGATACGCCTCTGTTATGATGGGAGAAAGCCACATATTCTAGAGGAAAAATATACATGATAAACAGCCTGAGTCATCACTTCTAGTATTTAAAAGTCTTCAAAAATCTCCATAAAATCTACATGGAAAACTTTTTACCTCTTTGTTCTTGTATGGGCATTGCTGCCTTTCCTCAAAAACCAACACACTCAAGGTCATAAAAATTGATATGCTGAGTATATTTAACTACATATTATGATCTTTAAAAAATGCTCCTCCATAGTAGGAATAGTATATGTTCCAAAAGTTAGTCTATAAATCAATTGTTGGAACATACCCTGAAGAAACAAATGATGGTTTCCCAGAACATCCCATAAGAGCCTATCTAACTAGGTGTGATTAAAGTGCCATTAATACAAAGCCACATTAAACATAAGCAGCCCTTTTTTAAATGCAAAATAATAATTACCAGGCACTGAACAAAGTGATTTGCATACGTACTCTTAATTCTCAAAGCACTGTATGTTATGTATCGTCTCCCTTTAATGATAGAAGATACCTAAGAAGAAAATATTCAAAAGCCTGTTCAGGTCACAAAATTAAGCAGTGCTGTCAGGATTTGAATTCAGCACCAACTGACTCAAAGTTCTTACTCCTTATCACTATACTATCCTACCTTTAGATGTAAGAAATATTTATATACTTTATATACCAGGCAGTATATAGATTCTCTGTAGAGTTCACTCCATTTTAGCAGAACTAAGGATATAATCTTAAGAGAAGGTCAGCATAGGGGCGCCTGGGTGGCTCAGTTGGTTAAGCGACTGCCTTCAGCTCAGGTCATGATCCTGGAGTCCCGGGACTGAGTCCCACATCAGGCTCCCTGCTCAGAGGGAGTCTGCTTCTCCCTCTGACCCTTCCCCCCTCATGTGCTCTCTCTCTCTCTCTCTCAAATAAATAAATAAAATCTTTAAAAAAAAAAAGAGAGAGAGAAGGTCAGCATAAGTGCCACAAAAGAGGTATGGATAAATTGCCATAGGGGCAAAAACAGTCAAGGCAATGGTTTACAATTATTTGTATGTTCGGGATTGTCTGGGTTTGAGTTTTTAATTATTGATATAGGTTCCTAAAATGTATTTGAGGTATATTTAATTTTTTTTATAATTAATAACAGTTCACAGAAGAAAAACTTGGCCAGGCGGAGAAGACAGAACTGGATGCTCACTTAGAGAACCTTCTTAGCAAAGCTGAATGTACCAAAATATGGACAGAAAAAATAATGAAACAAACTGAAGTGTTATTGCAGCCAAATCCAAGTAAGAAACTTTTTACCTTTGTCTACCTTATTGACTAATCTGATTAAAAGATACCATTAGTAGGTTTTTTTGATGTAAAAAAAAAAAAAGGTTTTGATGGCTACTGGAAAACAGTTTTTGGTTTGTGGCTTTCAGGTGTATGGGTTTTGTGTTTGTGTGCGCCTGCGCGCTTTTGGTGAAGAAGAGGGTGATAAACACTTCTTTGTGTACCCTCTAACAAATTGATTAATTGTGTTTTCCATGCCTTTGTAGAATCCTTTTGATAATTTCAGGGAGTGAATTTTGTTTTTGAGAGAGAGAAAGAGAACATACGAGTGCCCCCTCCCCCCCACTCCTTGAGGGTGAGGGAGAGAGAGAATCCTAAGCTCAGTGTGGAACCCAGTGTGGGGCTCAATCTCACAAAACTGAGATCATGACCTGAGCCAAAGTCAAGAGTCAGCACTTAATGGACTGAGCCAGCCTGGCGCCCCAGGAGTAGCTTTTAATTTTAAGAGTTAGGAAGGGCTGTGAAAATAGGAGAATTGTCCCCAAATAATTAAGGGAAAATTATATGGAAACTTACATAGTTACCAATTATTTATGTTTATGTTGTTTGATATTTTTACATAAATTATTCCATTTGATTTTTAGACAACTATAAGGTTTTTCAGATCACCCATCTCAGTAATTTATCAAATAAGGTGCACAATTATTAATTGCAAATCACAAGTTAGCATTTTATACAGTGTAGAATAGCTAATTAGAAGTGGAAATTGAACTAGAATCTGGTGCATCAACACCCAGTCTTTTCACCCTGAGCTTTACACATCAAAACTGAAGAACAAAGGCAGCAGCAAATGCTTTCCTTCCCATTTTCCCCAGTGTTGTGACCATGTTGTGAAATGCCATAAGCTCACTTTTAGATACTAGCTTAAGCTCCAAGCTTTAAACTTTGCTGCTATTCCATGAACCTGAATCACTATACAAAACATTAGTAATTCTGTACCATCATGGTAACCTTTTGAAATAGGCCTTTTACACTTTGAGTGAGGCCTGTTGTCTTTGGGCACCATGTGGTATTTCTTACTCATTTAAGACTACTTAAATTATATACCAGGGCACCTTAAAAAAGTAGTAGACATTTTTCCTTATGTTCCTTGCTCTATCCAGAGTTCTTCACGTAAGTAGTCTGTTCTACATGTTTTTCTGAATGGCAAACTCATACACAACTGATAAACGGGAATTTCATTAGTATAAAGTTACAATGGCTCATATAATACAATTTTAATTAGTGTTTTAAGTCTAAAGTAGTAAACAAAATTGGATTTTTTTGTTTGTGCTCTGATTATAAAGTTACATAGATTATGAGTGGTCAGACCCAAACCTCTTTTTCCTGTAAGCCCTGTAATTTTTACAGTATGATTTTCTGGAACCTAGGGTTTTTCAAAAATATATATTGCATTATAGCAGTATTGCCCACATATTCTTTTAAGATTTTATTATGGTCTATTGCTGCCCTATTGAAATGAACATTTACTTAAAGTATGCCAAATGTTTATTAACTGAACGAAGTCAACATAGGATTCAACTTTAAACTTTGACCAAATAGGTAGAAATGCACCAAAGCTAAGAATCACTCTCATAGTCAGATAATGAAATTCTGCAATGTAGTTAACATCTTTTAAATGGTTGTGTTTTGAACTGACTCTTCTTGGTTTGAACTAATTTAAAGGTTTTAAAAGTCCTGCGTAAAAACTTCTGATGGTGCTCCAGAGTCTACCACATAAATGAGTATTATTCCAATAGCCTATTTTATGTATTATAATCAATGCTTATGCTGATTCCTCAAGTGTTTCTGTTACTGGTTCAGTTCACTTTTTAAGTTTCCAGTGCACTGTGTGAAACTTCCACTTGTAGAGTAATTATCTGAGATGCTTAGAAGGAACCTTTTTTTTTTTTTTAGCTTCTCTTTAGACTATAAATTTGATTTATAGTTAATCATTGTTTCTGGAAACTGATCTTTTTCTCATTTGTCTCTCACATACCTATTAGGCAGCCGTGTAAGTGTGAATATTTTGTATATTGCACTAACCAGGCATTTATTCAGATTTTACTGATTATTTTTTTTCCTTTCCATGTATACTAGCATTCTACTGTTTCTTTTAACCTGTCTCATATTTTAACGAAATCTTTTGAGTGAATACATGCTGAGGGGTATCTGTATATCTTGTATTTTAAACAAAATTAAATAAAATTAAGCCAAGACATCATATTGCTGATCTCTGTCTGTGACTGGTCCAAACCTAGGTGGTTCTATTCCTTAATTTCCATGCCTATATTTAGACTCTAGGAAGGAGAGAGACCATGTGAGCACGCAAAAGTACGATAAAGGGGGGCGCCTGAGTGGCTCAGTTGTTAAGCGTCTGCCTTCACTCAGGTCACGATCCCAGGGTCCTGGGATCCAGCCCGGCGTCCGGCTCCCTGATCTGCGGGAAGCCTGCTTCTCCCTCTCCCACCCCCCCTGCTTGTGTTCCCTCTTTCACTGTGTCTCTCTCTGTCAAATAAATAGAATCTTAAAAAAAAAAAAGTATGATAAAGGTATTAAAAGTATGTGACTCTTTGGTTCTAATAGGTACTTTATATCCATTTTTTCATAGCTGGAAATCCCTGGTTTTGAAATTGAACATATATTCAAGGTTAAAAATCAGATTTATGAATGGGGCAAAGGCAACGTCATTAGATATTAAGTGAATACCAGTGCTTTTAGAATCTCATCATATGATAGTTTCACTTTAAGTAAATATTTTTGTGCCAAAATATTTTATCAGATTTCTAAAGTATAAGTTTCATAGAGCTATATAATATTCTAACATAAAAATTAATAATTATGTATTAAGATATGTACTTAAAAGCATGCCAATTTCATCTTATTTTACAGGATGATAAATGGGTAGTAGGGAAAAAAAACAATTTTTTAAATAGTTGTGCTTTTTTGAAATCATTGATAATTTTAAACCTTTCTCCTAGATGCCAGGATAGAAGAATTTGTTTATGAGAAACTGGATAGAAAAGCTCCAAGTCGTATAAACAACCCAGAACTTTTGGGACAATATATGATTGATGCAGGGACTGAGTTTGGCCCAGGAACAGCTTATGGTAAGCAAAAGGCAAAAAGATCTGCTAAAAACTAGCTTTACTTTTAGATTTTTACTACTTAGAGACATCATTAACATCTACCTAATATTAGTAGAATCAATTTTAACTTCAAATTTTTTATGTTTAAGTTTTGGATAAAGTAAGAAATAGAGATGACCGGTAAATATGAATGGTTCAACTTAATATATTTAAGTATATATTCTGAGAATTCACATTTATCATTTTAGATCTAAAAGTTAACTGAATTCTTCAGTTGTGCTCCCATTGAATCTTGCAACCTCCGTTATAGTACTTCTTTTGATATATTGTAATTTTTGTTTATATGTCTCCCCTAGATGATTTTTTTTAAGCTTTCTTGAGGGCTTATTTATTTTTGTAATAAAATGCCTGGCACATAGTGTTTGAACATACCACTAATGCTTTCATTACACAGTAATGTCACTACCACAAAAATGTTAACAGTGGTTATCTTTGGATGTTTGGATTACATTTCATTCTATTTTCCTCAGCTAGTTCAGATTTTCTATAATCATGTTTTATAGTTATGCCAGCTTTTTTAGTTGCTATACTGACTTTTTCAGTGTATAACTCTGAAGCTCATTATCCCCCAAATCTAATTTTCTCCGAATATAAGACTATTTCAGATTCCTATAGCTTCTTTTCCTATTGTTCATGGCAAGTAATTCTCTTTATTAAGACTTCTGCAGGAAATTGGTCCTTATGTGAGTATGAAATGTAGGTAAATTAAATGATTTTCTATGTGTAGTACTGATTTATAAAATAGTTCGTAAACTCTGGAACAAAATGAACTTAAAGTTGTTTTTTTTTTTTAAAGATTTTATTAATTTATTTTACAGAGACACAGCAAGAGAGAGAACACAAGCAGGGGGAGTGGGAGAGGGAGAAGCAGGCTTCCCACCGAGCAGGGAGCCCGATGCGGGGCTCGATCCCAGGACCCTGGGATCATGACCTGAGCCGAAGGCAGACGCTTAATGCCTGAGCCACCCAGACACCCCTGAACTTAAAGTTTTAATAGTTACCTTTATGTCAGAAGGAAATAACCTAAATACTGTATAATGAATGGCGTTAATCCATTGACTGTTAGATGTACAACTGAAACTTTTACATTGTGGTCTTCAAAAGGTACTTCTTTGAGAAGTCTGAAAATGATTAAAATTTCTATAGTTTTATTTCTAAATTTTAACTATTAATTTTAGAAAAATTTTACACATTAAACAGATTTTTTGTGCCTGCTTGTGCCAGAAGCAGTTAGATGCTGGAGGTCATAAAGGTACATGAAGGACACCTAGCCCTTTCCTTCACCAAGCTGAAGGCCTAGTGGGGCACAAACATTCAAAAGCCTTATAAATTTTTTCCTTTTTTAATATGCTTAATCTGTTTTCACCTGTAGTAGTTCTATTGACTGTACCTTGATTATTGGAATTGGGCTTTGTGAATCTATTTAATCATAATTGATAATAACTAACAATTGAGTATTTCAGGCATTGGGCTAAACATACACAATAAATGTATTATTTCCATAAGTCTTCACTTACAGCCTACTTATAAATTCTATAATCTCCATTTTGAAGACAAGGAAACTGAGTCTTAGAGAGATTACATAATTCATCTATGATCATATAGCAAGTAACTCAGAGATCTGTATCCAGACATGGAGCTCTTAACGACTATGTTATATTATCTTCCTTGCCAAGCAAATCTAGTCGCATCCTAACATGGAGGATTTAAGATCCACAGAATTGAAGATTAGAGGTAGAACTCGAAGTAGAACCTTGGTCTTGTGGTTCCCTTTCTTTTTGCTCTATTTTCCACTGAGCTTGTCCTATTTAAACATTAAGGTATATGTGTTGCAAAACATGGATTTTTCTTTAACTTAAGATACAAATATACAGTTATTATTTAAAGATACTTGAGGCCCATGCATAATATAGAAATAGACAAATTTTGTCTTGATCTACTTATGAAAATATTTTAAGCATTATGCTTTTCTAAACATATCTCCACTGTTTGAGCTGTAGTCATAAATACTTTTTAGTGTATTTATCCTCTTTTGTTCCATTGGTTGAATTGGTACAGTTAACTGTGATATGATAAGGACTTCTTGAACCTGTCATTTTCATTTAGATATTTATAATCTTAAATTTACTTTTAAAATAAAACTAATGACAGCTAATTCTCTTTGATTTTTTAAGTAAACAAGTGACAACTAACTTTAAAGCAGATCAGATTGCTGATTTTATTTTCTGACATTACCAGAAGATGGTAAAAAAAAAAAAACACTTTTTTCCTTTGCAGGTAATGCCCTTATTAAATGTGGAGAAACACAAAAACGAATTGGAACAGCAGACAGAGAGCTGATTCAAACATCAGCTTTAAATTTTCTCACTCCTTTAAGAAACTTTATAGAAGGAGATTACAAAACAATTGCTGTGAGTTGGAAAATGTTCCCTTTTTTTTAGTAAAATAATTTATATATATAATTACACTTTTTAATGAATAATTTGCCCTCTTACGGACTGTGTAGATGTAGCAGATTAGAAAATTTAAATAATCTAGCTAGGTACATATTCAGCAGAACACAAAGCTAACCAAAATAAAGAACTTCCATTTTTGTGTCCCTGCAGTGTTATTTAGATTACATCAATTGTTGTTCATTACCAGCACTAAAATTTGTAGAGAAATTCCTGGAATGATTATAAAAATATGGCACAAAATACCTCCATAGTATAGCCATGTTAGCTATTCATTTAAACTGGGAGCCAAAAACCTAATTACTGTATTTCTGACTGTTCAACTTTCTGTTGTTTGCATCCCTAGAAGTCTTGTTATCTTCTCCTCACACAGCTGTGTTTTATTGCTGAAGAAATAAATGTAACTTTCCCAAGCCTAATATTATTTTTTAGTTTTTTTTTAAGCAATGGAGAGTGAAGATCTAGATGGATTTTTTTTGCCTAAGATTTTTGCAAGATTGTTCTTTATTGTAAATACTACTATAAACTTTAATTTGCAGATTTCTTACTATAAAATACTGTAGAAACTCAGTATGTGTACAATGAATTTGTCTCTGGGTAAAAAGTATTTTGCCTGAGACAAAGGAAAAACCACCAAGTTGAAATACAATTTAAAAAATATTAGATTGTCAGTAGGATGAAATGTGATATATGAAATCTGTCTGAGAATTAATAAAGCAAGCAGTGGATTTTTATAAACTTACCTGTTATGGTGAAGTTCCCATGAGGAATTCTAAGATACCATACTAATGTTTATTCATTATTCTATAAATTTGAAATTTCCTTTTGTAGTAATAGAGTTGCTTTCAGTGCTCTGGCACATTAAGTGAGCCTGCCCAGTCCTTGAGGTAGATCACTTAGGGTGTCAAGGAACTTTGACCTAGGCCCATACCTCCTTTACCTTGGCACTTCCTAGATAATCTGTTTGAAACAGTTTATCAGCCTGGGCATTACTGACATTTTCGGTAGAAGAGTTCTTTGTTGTAGAAGCTGTACTGCATTGTAGGATATTTAGCAGCATCCTGGTTTCTACCTAGTAACATCTCCCCACCCCCCAGTTGTGACAGCCAAGATGATAGAGCAAAACATTCCCTAGATGGCAAAACCGCAAAATATTAAAATATGCATTTCTTTGTTTCTGCCATCACCTGCCATCTTTCCCAGATTTCCCCAGCATCTAGAATGTCTCCATTATTTTAAAATTGAAAACCGTAAGAAAAAGGAGTCAAGTGTTACTTCATAGCCAATTTTGTAATCATTGATCTTTGTTTATCAGATGATTCATGTATTTAATGGAGACTGGTACTTTAAATGTGTATGCTCTTACTGGATTTTAGCATCTTTAGCCTTTATTTTTTTTCTTTTGTATTTTTATAGAAAGAAAGGAAACTATTACAAAATAAAAGGCTGGATTTGGATGCTGCAAAAACCAGACTAAAAAAGGCAAAAGCTGCAGAAACCAGAGCGTCAGTAAGTAGTGTTTTTTTGCATAGAAAAAATCTTAGGTTGATAAATTTAAAATTTGTAAAATATTTTACTCCTATACCATGCAAGCTACAGTCTATTACTAAGAGTAGAATATGATTTTAGGGTATTGTTTTTGTGTTTAAACAAACTTATCAGAACTTAATGCATCCAAATCAGTGCACAGTAGTCATATCAACAGGCAGTATTATTTCAGTGATACACCTGTTGCTAAAAAATAAAAATTATAAGAGCTCCTAAAGTTCTGTCATGTTCTTTAAATATCCTCAGTGATGATGGCAAATATCCTTTTGGAGATAGGTTTATTATATTTGAAATAGAAAAACAGATAGTAATTAAGATGAGAATAAGTCAAGTTTGAGATTGCTAATGTGTGACCTAAAAATTAAACTTGACACCCTTTCCACATGTGAGTCAAACTGACTAAAGGCGTCACCAAGAATAATTCCAAAACCATTCAAACAGTTGCAGCATGGACGCCCAGGTGACTATTTTGAAGGGGAGGAAACCCATTTGGATACATAAGTTCTGATATATTTTTCATAAAATCAACCTCAGAATAGTCTTCATTTTAAATGGAGTTGGTTAAATATTAAATATAGTAATTTAATGATTCATACACATGTATTTATAAGTTTCTTAAAAGGTTTTATTTATAAGCTTATTTAATCTATTATTTATACTGCTTATATTTCCATTCCAAAGATGGAAGACATTAATCAGATAGTATAATATAAACAAGTCTGAATTTATTAGAGGAGGCTAACAGGTTAATTCTTAATTTATACTAAGGGATATGTTTTGTCAAGAAGCATGACATTCCCCCTGCCTTCTGTTCCCAACTCACTACCACTGTCATTATCAAGAATCATTGCCTTAAGGAACATAGGCCACAGTGCTGGTGGAAGACAACTGTGGCTCCCTTGTTTGGGGAAAGAAGAGGTTGAGACTTGTTTTATAGTGAAATTTAAAACTGGTAAAATTGGGATTAAACAGTGATGTCTTGTGAAAGTACCCCAACACTTTATATGAGCAGAATAAATTTCTTCTAGAAATATTTTCTTCTAAACAGTTCCCCTTTTGGAGAGTCTGTATTAATTACTGCTGAAGAAGAGCTTGCTTTGACAAGACATTAAATCGAAATTCTCTGGCTATTTCACCTCAGGATTTATCATGATGTCATCATCAAGAACACCCTAACTTCCCAAAACAGGCTTTTCACAGAATCAGAACTTCAAAATGAACACTGTAGGTGACAAGAGATTCTAAATTAGGATTAGTTTCTAGTTGCTAATAATAGATTTATGTGGTAAAATATAAATTGATTTTTTTTTTTAAGATTTTATTTATTTATTTGACAGAGAGACAGCGAGAGAGGGAACACAAGCGGGGGGAGTGGGAGAGGGAGAAGCAGACTCCCTGCTGAGCAGGGAGCCCGATGGGGGCTTGAACCCAGGACCCCGGGATCATGACCTGAGCCGAAGGCAGACGCTTAACTGAGCCGCCCAGGCGCCCCTGAATTGATTTTTAAGATACTAATTTCATAATCAGGAAAAAAATGTTAAGATAAATAAGGATCATTTGGAAATAAGTCAAAATCTCTTTATTCAAAATGCCTGTATGCGCCCAGTAATGATGGTGGAATGAGAATACTGTCATCAAGTGTCAGTACAAAACTTTCTTTCACAAGCACTATTACAGAATAATGATAATCTTTTTTATCTGGAAAAGTTCCAGAAAACTTAGAGATTTAACACTGTATAAGGTCCTTTGGTTATTCTAAATTATTTAACCATTGCTATTAAAATGTGTAAGAACTAAATATAATAGTAGACAAATTTTGAAAGATGTTTCCTTTTGGTATATCCGGAAAAGATCTTGACAGTTTTTCTGTGCTGAGTATTGTTGAGGACAGATTTTTTCCATGAGAATTTACATTTAAAATAAAAATGAAAAATTACACAAATGACTTTATTGAACAATTTCACGTATACACAGCTTTTCTAGAATTTATATATTGCATAAAACAAAGTTAACTATAGCCAAATATTTAAAATATTAGTTTAGGTAGAAATTCACATTTCCTGATTATAGTTGTGTTCTTTTCCCCTAGATAACCAACTCGTTTTTCTTCAAACTTTATAGTAGTAAGTCTGAAATACTTTAGAAGGGAGAAGTCCTCTTAGTTTATTATTACATAAAGCCTTAAGGCATGCCTATTATTCTGTGATCTTTGGTGGGTTTTTTTTTTTCTTTCTGTATTTCTTTTCTGTTTACTTGAAGAATACAGAAAAATAGAAACCACTATGAGTTTGTGTTTGTTTTTTTTTTCTTTGACACATTTCCTCGTTCCTAGTTGACTCTAATCCCAGAATTTCTTTGAATTCACTTTATAAATTTCCATGGATTGTTTTGTGAGTAGTTATTTCTCTGCAAGTAAGGTTTGGGACCTGTGCATATCAGCACTTTTTTTTTTTTTTAATAATTCATTTACTTGTTTCTTGTTACCTCTTTTTAAAGTCTATATTTATTGAATGCTTATTTTGTACAAGGCGCTTTGCTGAGGAATTCAGAGATAAATAATGCAAAATCTCTACTGCCCTCAGTTCACAATCTAGTATACTAGATTGAACTTTTTGATGACTTAGCCAAGTCAGTAAAATATTTATGCCTGTATCCAATATTGCTACTTTATTAACTTGTATTTTATTAGTTAGCATGTTGAAAAATGGTAAAGCAACATCAAAGGCATTTCTCAAAAATACACCAATTGAACAGAAAGAAAACCTACTTGAATGTTTCACAATGAACAAAAACACAATTTTGAAAATAGTATAAAACTTGTCAAAGAAGCAAAGACAAATAAAATTTCTGCATTTAAATTAACCCAGCTTTAGTCTTATATAATTTTTTTTTAATTATTCCGGACTTCTGTTAATGGGAAGAAAAAAATCATCTAGTTTCAAAGCTCTCTAATATTTAGAGGTTTAAACCTCAGTTTTGGGTATAACAAATGTGGAAAATACATCTTCAATAACACAGTATTGTGAATGTCCCTCTGCCCAATTAAGCATTTCCACATATGTCTAAATCTTTAATCTGTAAACTGAGCACCATCATGTAACTTAACCTTAATGTACACATATGAGAATTTAAAGCTTATTAAAGCTTAATAAAATAATATTAATAATTTAATATTATTAAAAATATAAGGATTGACATACCTTTCATATTTCTTCAGGGTATGCCAAGACCTGGCTGAGGATGACTGAAAGAGAACATGGTTGAAGGCATCATACATTCATAAAATAGAAATGATCTTTGAATAGGAAAGTTGTGGGTAGGCAGAAGGGCTTTCATAGGTGAAAATTTAATAAAAATTGTAGGTAACTGGCAGTCTTTAAAGTGATGTGTTTTTCCTAAATGATTCTAATTTAAAATCAAGCATCAACCATGTTTTTTGTCTTTAAAAATCTGAATCTTTTGGAAAAGTTGAATAGGCACCACTATTGTGAAATTCTATAGAACAACATAGATGTCTTTTTAAGTAGAAAACCATTTTATCAGCTCTCTTAATACTTGTTTGTGTGTCCTTTATTGTGAAGAAGTAATTGTTTCACTGTGTTCATTGGTATAATGTGTTCTTTGTCTCTTACCTATGCACTTAAGCAACTAAACTCAGCTCGCCTTGAAGGAGATAACAATATGGTAAATTTCTCTTACATGCTCAACTTCCTGCATGTAAAATGGCTGAAGGTTTGTTGGCCTACTGTGTTTTCTACATCTTGAGTAAAGTGCCTTCTCTTGCTATTATCTGCTGTAAAAGTCTAAAGTAGTCAAAGCCATGAATTCATTAGTCCAACAAAAAATACAGGGAATACTAGCTGAAGTAATATTGGAACTTGAAGAATAGAAATTTTGTGTTCTAATTGCCAAATATATTAGCTATGCCAAATTCATATTTTAGAATATGAATTTATATATAAATATATAGTGCCTTTTATACCTAGTAAAAGACATTAATTTAACTGGCACTTTGTATTTTCACTTTTGGCAAAGAAAATTAACAAAATTTACTTAACTTAGAGAAAAGTGTAAAGTTTACAGACTTACTTTGTTTTTTAGTATCTTTGATGTTTACCTTAATTTTCACCCAAACTCAACATAGAATTAATTTCTTACGCAGTTTCATGCCAAGACACACTCACCCCCCATATTTCTGTAGTAGCCAGGCCCATTCCCTGTCCAGTACTAATTTACTTAAGAAAGTTACAGAATAGTGATAGCTTTGGGCAAGAATCAGGAGTGAAAATTGTTCTGTAGTACCCAATATATATGTTGAGCTTGATTTGAGGATTTGAGTTTTGAGATGTTAGCAATTTTTAATTTTTAACAAAATAGAAATTCATAAAATCTGAATATAGCCCAAAAACTCATAAACATTAGCCAATAAAAATTTATAGATGTAGTGTTTGGCATCATATTCCTAGATACATTTCCATAGAAGTAGTATGGAAACTGCAGTACAGTTAATAATAAATTCACAGGTAACTGACTGCCTTTATTCCATTAGCATTGAGCTACAAGGGGCAAAAAAATTCATGTAATGGGAAAGTTTATGTACGGAGTATTTAAAATGCATTTTTGTTGTTCTGAACTACTGTAATTATTGAAGCCCTGGCTAAATTAGGGCTTTCCTTAGATAGCAAGAGAATGCATTCATTTATTTCCATTGTCCTATCTGTAGGTGAATGAAAATGTGTGAGACTATTTCAGTCATTGGTAACTTCGCATATAAATCATAGGTTTTATTTTAGGTAAGGATATCCTAAACAATTAGCAAGACTTTATTTCACTTATTAGGCATCTGTTTTGCTACTGATGTCATCTACTTAAAATAAGATGTTTAACTCTGGTCATTTTAAATTCATTACATCTCAAGTTTATTGTGCCCCACCGGTGGCTATAGCAATGTCTATTTATCCTTGCTTTATTTTAGTTTCCTAAAATTCTAGAATTTTAGACCTAAATGAGAAATTAGGAATTGTTTAGTCCAGACCTTTCATTTTACAGATGAGAGAACTACAACTTACTCCCAGTTTTAGAAAACTATTACGTAGTAACTTATAAAATTAGTATAAGATTCAAAAATTAATACTATTGATCCATATGAAGGCATACTTTCTCAGTATATTAAGCTGTACTGATTTAGTTACTACTATAATTACATTTTTCTATACTAAGTTGTAGAAAATGTTAAATTCCAACTTTCTTTCATGCTCTATATTTTTCTCTAATTTTTAATGCTGGCTAGATTTGGGCAGAGGAAGTGACAAAAGTAAGTAAATTATTAAACTATAGAGTTATGAAACAATTTAATTGTTATTCATTCAGTAAATATTTATTGGACAGCAGCCATGGGGCCAGTCATAGTCTTTGTTACTATGTCTTACAAAATCTGAAAATTACTATAGAAAGCTCAGATTGTTTGGCTAGAAGTAGCTTCATAAGGTAGTGCAACAATGTTACAGAGATGTGCTTTGCACACATTCTGATACAATGTTACATTAAGTAGTAATCTTGCCAGAAGACAGTTTAAATACTTGGTTTACTTACATGACAGTTATATAAACTACCCTTTACACCATGTCTTGTATATTCAGTAACTGAATATATCATATGTCACACAAATGAATTTTGTAGATAGCTGAAGCTTGTTCTCTCCAGTAACCAGAGCTAAGTCTTCTGTCACTTTAGTTGAAAATATTGTAAAATAGTATTTTACTGCTCCATTAAATACAGGATAACATATATTTAATTTTACTTACAGTTAGGGTATGAATGTACATTATTGTACCGTGTAACAATTAGATCCGTTGTTTGTTTTTGAAGTATGTTGTCTCCTCCCTCAGTGTCAGACTGTCACTTTTAAAAGCTGTCCATATGACTGCTACTAGTAGTCCCTCTTTCCATGTTACCATTCCTAATCTTTTCTAGGATGGGAAATAAAATAGTCAAGCAAGAATTTAAGGAATAAATTATGACTTTAGATTTGTTTCAGTATTTGAGGTCTTCAGAAGCATTTTTTATTTACTCCTCATGTTCAGGCCTACCAAAATTTGACCTGCAGATGAGGACAGGCTGAAGATTGAGGGCAGGTGGTAATTGTGGCCCCTGACTTTTTCTTCTTTTTTTTTTTTTTTTCCAAACGTTAACTTTTTATTTTCTGCCTTTGTAGGATTGCTGCCTATAAGGTCTGTTCCATGTATAGGTTATGAGGGTTTTGATTCTTTGAATTGGAAATCCAGTGTGAAATTGTTGACGCCCACTCTTCATCCCCCTTTGTGGAATCCATTTATCAACTTAGTTACAGGTCTCCCTTCGCCTCTGATTTTTTTCCTGAACCTCTAGCTTGAAGAGGATAGAGTAACGTGGAAGAGAATATAGGTTGAACAATAAAACCAGGGTCTCTTCCACTCTGGTTAGCAGACAGATACACCAAAAAATTTCTGATTCTGCAGTCTCTGTAAGTTAGGGAAATATGTGATATGATGGAAAGAAACTCATAAAACAAATATTTACATTGTGTGTGTGGGGCAGGGTGTGTAAGTAAAACTTAATATATCAAAATGGATTTGGGAAGATTTTTTTTCTTCTGTACTTTTCACTTCTGCCATTTTTATAATTTAAAATATGTATAATTTTAAAACTTCATATTCCTCGAATATTTTAAGATTTAAGCCTATAAAAAAAATAGGTGACAGAACAAGATTGTCACAGCAAATGCCTCAAAAGCCTGACCAAAATTTCTAGCTTACAGTTACCCAGACCTGATATCACAGATCAACAAATTCTTGCCCTTTTTCCAAGTTACATCTTAAAACAATTCTTGCTTCCCTAACCCAAGTTATGCTGTCATATACTCTGGCAGGAGAAAGTCTCTTCCCTAGAACTTTATGTCTTAACTGTAAAATTAAGTCAGGGAATGAGGTCTTCTGGAGGACAGAATAAAAACCCTTTAAATTCACCCTTTTTATCTATCTTTCTAATATGGATCATTCTCTTCCTAGTAAATTGACTATGCCAAACCTATTTCAGTTACCTCTGCCTCTCAGATTAATTATGATCGTTACATGTGTCAGAAGTAGAGATGGTTTGGGAGATTTGACTACAGCCACCCCAGGCATACACTGAAACTTGTTCAGGAAGTGAGATTCATTTACTTCTGTCATTTACCTTTTCTAAACACAAAGTCTAAATTGTGCAAAGAATGACTTCCTAGGCTTTGTAATATGGTGCCTTTCTTCATAATTTATATTTTGCCCAAACATGGAAGACTGACCCCTTATACTTTCTGAGATCATTTTATAACTTTTTCCACTTCATGCTCAAACTTCCCAGTTACTTAATCTGTTACCTAGTTCACTTGCTTATACCTTATACAGAAATATTGCCAAATAGAAGGCTTTTCTGCCATTTCTCCTAAAGGCCATTAAATCAAATTGTACTTTCATAGAGACCCATGGGGAACTAGTCTTGTTTACTTTTTTTTTTTTTTTTAAAGATTTTTTATTTATTTATCTGAGAGAGAGAATGGGAGACAGCATGAGAGGGGGAGGATCAGAGGGAGAAGCAGACTCCCCGCCGAGCAGGGAGCCCGATGCGGGACTCGATCCCGGGACTCCAGGATCATGACCTGAGCCGAAGGCAGTTGCTTAACCAACTGAGCCACCCAGGCGCCCGTAATCTTGTTTACTTTTAAAGTTTATTTATTTTTGATTTACTATGGGTACTTCTAATCAAAACTTTTCTGTAGTCAACCAAGCAGAAGAGTAAATAATGCAAATGTGATACTGAAGTAATTGGTTTTCCTTAACACTTAGGAGGTTCATTGATTCTTTTCTTCTCCTGGGACTTGATTTCCTACTTAATGCTAGCTTCTGGATGAAGCTTACTTCAGCCCTATTATCAAAGCACCATGCATTCTGATTTCAGTCAAGTAAAATTTAATTTTAACTCTTGAATTATTGAGTAATTCAAACTTATTTCCATAAATCCAATCTAGTGGTCACTTCTAATCACCTCTGTTGCCAGTGGGATGAGAATGACTAAAGCAACTGATGATGTATTTTGCTGCTACTTCCTTTTTGACTGGTTCACTGGGTTAACTGTTGCCACCAAAAAGTGAAGGAGAAGGGAGATGGGGTGTGCAAGGAAAAAGTTTAGACCTAATTTTTATACTTACTACAGTCTTGGAAATATTCTAATTACTTGGATGGGGAGGCTATTTATTCTGGAGAGGTAGTAGAAGGTAGCATTATTAATGGCATTACCACCAATGATGATTCCTAGTGTGGGATAAGCTAACTGTTTTGCATGAGCTGTGAGATTTTATTTTTCTCTTCCTCACTTACTACCAACCCTCTGGCTAAAGGTTTAAGATGTTTTTTGCCAGTATTTACTATTTTTAGGTCCTGTTAATTTTTTAGTGAACTGTTTTGTCCCAGCAGTGAACCTGTATCAGAGGGCTGAAGCTAGTAGTAGTGGTGTGCTATTATATACACCTTTTTCCGGCTCTGAGGTCAATGACTTCACCTTGGTAGCTTGAAATGAGCTGTGGTTGGAGTATTTGTACCATGAAAATCAGCACATTAGAACTCATTCACCCCACTCCCAGCCAGTTTACCAGCACACTACTGATTAAAGGTCCCCCATAACTTGCAGAAAAACCCTAGCATATCTTGTATATAATAGTGATGCTTAAGTTTGGAAATGCAAAGTTTGGAAAGAAAACTGAAAAAAAAAAAAAGTCATTTATGCAATAAAGTTCTTTGAAAGAAGCTAAGAACTATGTGCCTAGAAACAAATAATATGTTTGGTAACTAAACAGAAGAGGTTAAAATCCTATGGCTTCACTCTGAAGTTTGTTCATTTGAGATTAAAGACTATCTTTAACTTCAAAGTAAAGTAGCTATAGTAATAATTGAGAATTTTTTTAACAATTTTTTTTAAGGATTTTATTTATTTGAGACAGAGAGAGAGAGAGCATGAGCACGGGGAGAAGCAGGCACCCCGCTGTGCCAGGACTCCCCCCCCCCCCAATGTGGGGTTATGCTGGGATCGTGACCTGAGCTGAAGGCAGACGCTTACCATCTGAGCCACGCGGGAGAATTTTTTGAAATATTATTTTATACATATAAACTAATATTCTTAAAATGTTATGACAGTATATTGACTGTCCCATAGTAGTGTTTGTAGGCTTTTATGTGTATGCCATTAAGCTTTGACATTAATGGATTCTTCTGAGTGAAGTACTGGTAAGGAATTGGGTAATGTAGAAAAGCTAAGGTGTAGAAAACAGGGAACAGTTTAAACACAAAACAGAATCAGGGACTTGGCAGCTTCTCATTTGGGGTTTACTTGGGGGATTTTTAAACTATCTTAACAAATGTACATAAAATGGGCTAAGTCCTCTAATAAAATTCTAAAACTATGTTCCAATTTAAGTCTGAACAGGAATTGAGAATAACTCAAAGTGAATTTGATCGTCAAGCAGAAATTACAAGACTTCTGCTAGAGGGAATCAGCAGTACACATGTGAGTGTTCATTCACTGGAAATTCATTTGAAACAGAAGACTTTGATTGTCCTAAGGGACTTTGAGGGGGAGAACTGAACTTCAAAACTTTTTCAGTCATTTATCAAGGAAATTTAAATTATGGCCCTTGCCAAGATATATGAAGAAATATTTTAAATTTTTGTTTACACCTCATCACCTAGATCTCTCACCATCATCAACGCCATTTGTTGGTTTTTGTTGGCTACATAGTTTGTTCTTACACTATTAACCGAGGTCAGCCTTGGTAAGCCTTGTAGTAGAATGCTAGATACTGGTGATTCTCCCTGAGTACATGTTGTGGTCTGTTGCCCCTTGGAATTTAGCACTTTTAAGTAGATTACAGAGCTAAGAAGTAACTGTAACTTTCCTTTACAGGCCCATCATCTCCGTTGCCTGAATGACTTTGTGGAAGCCCAGATGACTTACTATGCACAATGTTACCAGTACATGTTAGACCTCCAGAAACAACTGGGAAGGTTGTAATTTCCTTTTCACACCTGAAACTCTTGATAAGAGAGGAAATTCAGATTTTTGCATGTGAACTAATAATAGAGATGAAGATTAGAAGGATTAAAGACTTTTATTAGCTTGCTTAAAATCAGATTCTTTTTTTTTTTCTTTAAGGAAAGTGTCGGACTCGTGAGGTAGCAAAAACATTGTGAGCTCTCCTAGCACCCAAGAACTTAACAGGGATGAGAACATAATTTAAGTGAATACTTTTTCAGTGCTATATAAAGAAAACTTAAAAGTGTTTGAAGTTCATTTCTCTCTTAAAATACCTTCCAGTTAGTTGAGAAGGATTACATTGACACTTATTTGCCCTTAGAGATAAGCTAATTTATACTTACTCATTACTTGTTCACTGTTTTAAAAAAAAAAAAGTTTTAGAATAGTCTATAAGACCTCAAGCCCATAATGTAATTATTAAAAATCATATTTTAATATACTTTAAAGTATTGATAGCACAAAATGTGCATAGCTCAGTCATTCATTCATCAAATGTTTATTGAATACCTGTCATATACCAGGCACTGTTCTGTACTCTAGAATTATATCAGCAAACAGAACAGGCAAAATTGCTTACCCTTATAGAGCTCACATTCTAAGGTGACACTAGAAATAAAATGATGTATAGGACAAACATGGTCTCTGCTAGGTCTAGGTAGAAATACCTAGATATTTAAAGTCTAGGTAGAATTAAAGGCCATTGGCAGATAGGCCAGGTGGTAAGTGGAAAGGTCGAAGTGCAGGTTTCTGTGAAGGACCTCTAACTGTGACTCAGGTGGGTCTGGCAAAGTTTCACAGATGAAATTATCTTAGGGGGAATAATCTAGATGAAGAAAGGAGCAGGGATGAATATTCCAGACAAAGGAAGAACACGTACATGAAAAGGCCAGAGAAAAGAGAGAGTGGCAGTTCAGGGAATTCAGGCAATTCAGTTTGTTCTGGTTGGAGTATACATAGTGTTTAAGAATGGAATTGTAGATACGGCTACAAGAGTAAACAGGGTCATGTCACCAATGCCTTGTAAAGTAAGTAGTGATAAGGAGTTGGCGATTTATATAGTGAAGAGCCATTAAAGCCAAGGGAGTGATATGTAAGAGTTGAAGGAGAAATATTAAGAGAAGTTTTTTCAGGGAATAAGTTTTTTTAAAAATCACTTTGGTGTTCTTTTCTGCATTTAATCCTTTAAAACTAGACCTAGAACAAAATTAGGCACATCCACAAAACGAATTTTAGATCTTAAAGATGAATTGTAGCCTGATACCACTGGTTATTCCAATAAGATTTATAGAAGATTTATACTTCTGTATATTTGAAGGTTTGTTAATGGTATTCCTATCTGAAAGCAGAATGCCACTTTATCCCCACATCATTACAACTATTTTAAGCCCAGGAAGCCTTAGTACTTCCTTTTCACTTTGTCCTGATACTCTGGGAGTGCAGTAAAGGGATTGCTGTTGTTACCATTCATACTTGTATTCTGCTTAAAGCCACACAAATGCTTGGAACTCTGCCATTCAAACAAAATGCTAGTTATTGCACTTTTGGATAAGCTCAAACATTACAGAGTGAAATGGGTACTATTGTTCTAGGGAAGAAAGTCTAGCTTATCTCTCTGCCCTCAAAGAATTAGATTACTGGTAAGGACCAATGGTAGAGAGTGGGAGGAATTTTAGGTCTTTAATGTTACAAGCTATGCTTTTTAAGAGAGTATATAGAAATATTCAAACGCAGAACTGGATAAATCATCCAATTCCAGACTAATTCAGAAGCTATTTCTGAAGAGTAGAACCAGGTTGTAATGTTAATGGTTATAATAGAGTGATGGTAGTAGTAATAGTAACTGAATAAGAGCAGTCCCTTAGGAAGGGCTCCAGTTGTTCCCAGGCACTCCTCTAGATACCTCATATATAATGTGATAGCCCTCACACCGGTGAGGGTCCTAATAGGACCCACATTTTACAGATGAGGAAACAAAAGCACTAGTCACAAGATTAGTAAGTGTATTTCATTTTTAAATAATTAGAAGGTTTTAATATATCAAGCTACAGTGGCAGAAAGTCTGTAGTTTTTAAGATGTATAAATAAAAGTTCTTAGAAGGTGAAAATGGTCTTTCAGGGTTTTGTTGTTGTTTGGTTGGGGTTTTTTTGTTTGTTTCTTCTTTTTACCATTAATTCCCCAAAATTGACATAGGTAGACCTCATTGGTAAACAAGGGCTAATTATACTAGTAAATTTGAAAGTAACATTCCATGATGAGAGACTTTAAAAACCACACATATGTGGGGAACAAGAGCTTTTTTTTTTTAATCTTCAGAAATGTATATATTGGGGAAACTGAGTTCACTGAGGAAAAGATGCTAGGAAAGGTGTTCCTAACTTTAGAGTAAAACCTGAATTAGAAATTAGGATTTTTTGTCCTTAGAACCCTGTTATCCACCAGAGAAATATTTGCTTTAATTTTTAAAAATGCACTATTTCAGGCATGAAGGATACAGTGTAAACAAAACAGACCAAATCCATGTCTTCATTGAACCTACATTTTATTTGGGGGCAGAGGGAAGTAGAAAATCAATATGTAAATTACATAGTATATTAGAAGGTGATAAATGCTGTGGAGAAAAATAAGCAGGGAAGTACCTTGGTTAGGAGTAGAGGTTTACACTAGTTAGGGAAGACAGACTTGAAAGATGAGAGGAAGCAAAGCAGGTAGGCCGGCAACTGAGAGACAATGCTCCAGGGGAGTGTACAGTAAGTAGAAAAGCCCTGCAGCAGGAACATAGCTGTGATGTTCAGACGGCAGTAAGGAGGGCTTGGCTGGAGATGAATTGAGGAAACAGGAAGCCGGGACACAGAGGGCTTTGGCCTTTACTCAGAGATAAGGAGTCTTTGGAGGGTTTTGCCCTGAGGAGTGATACAATTCGATTAGCCTTTGACAGGATCATTCTTGCTCCTCTGTTAAAGGTAAATGTGAGGGGGCATGGGTGGAGGCTAACAGACCTGTTTAGAACTGATTGCAATAATTTAGTCAGTAATCCAGTCAGGAGATGATGGTGGCTTGGATCAGGGTGATTGTGGTAGAAGCGGTCAAACCCTGGGTGTATTTTAAAGGTAGAACCAGTAGGATTTGCTGACAGACTTCATTTATATGGGCCTTAAAGGAGTCCAGATTTACTGCAGGTGTTTGGCCTGAACAACTGAAAGAATGGAGCTGTAGTTAATTAAAATAGGGAATGCCACAAGAGGGGCAGGTTGGGATAGTATATCACCCCAGTTTTATGCCAGAAGCCCAGTTTTAGACATTTGAAGTTTGAAATGTCTATCAGACATCTAAGTGGAGAATACCCAGTTGTAGGACATGCAGGTCTGGAGTTTGGGGGGTAAATTAGAGGTAGATATTAGAGAGTGGTCAGCTTATCAAGGATATTTAAATCTGAGACCAGATGGAAGACTGTAAGTATAGGTAGAGAAAAGAAGAGGGCTAAGAGTTGAGCCCTAAGGCACTCCCAACATAGAGAGCTTAAGGAAGCAGTGGTACGGAATGAACAGTGAGGTAAGATGTAAACCAAGAGTGTGGCCTGGAAGTCAGGTGAAGAAGATAGAGGAAAGTGGAGGGAAAGAATCCACTCTGATCACTAGATAGGTCAGGTGAAATGAGGAATGTTAATAGACCATTGGATTTAGAACACTGAAGTCATTGCTGACCTTGACGAGAGTAGTTTTAGTGGAACAGTGGAGGCAAAAGCTTGTCTATAATGTAAAAGAACAAAAGGAGAGGGACTGTGATAGTGAGTTTAGATAAGTCTTTCAAAGGTTCTAGTGTAAAGAGGAACAGAAGAATGAAGCAGCAGCCAGAGGAGAAAGTGTGTCTAGCAGATTTTTGTTTTTTAAGATAGGAGAAATTTGTAAGCTGATGAGAATGATACAGTACATGGAGAAATATGATAGCATGGGAAAGAAAAGGAAGACTTGCTAGTGTGATATCCTTGAGAGGAAAAAGAAGGTGAGATTTTTGTGCAGAGGTGAAGAAATTAGCCATAGAAGCGTGGACAGCTCATCTGTAGTAAGAGGAGAGATGATCACAAAAGCATAGATGTTTCCTGATTGTTCTTTTTCTTCTCAGTTCAGAAGGAAACAAATCATCAGCTGAGTATAAAGGTTAGGGGAGAACTGCTAGAATTTAACTACTCTTGTTTATGCTGCTGGCTGACTGTGATTTCCAGATGGCCCAGTGGTCATATAGAGAAGAAGGAAATTGTATTTTATGGAGGGATGAATTTCACTCACCTTACCAGATGAGGCCTTTTATATTTATTAAGATTTAAATACGAATTTTCATAGGAAATTTTCAGCCTTAGAAATGGTTGGATGAGAATGAATATAGGCCAGCCAGTTTGTGCTGTTTTCCACTTAGTATTGGAGAAACAGTAGCTTTAAAATAAGTTGAAAATTTTAATTATCTTTAAAATATTTATAAGCACACCAATCAAAGAGATTTTACTAATTTCTAATAAAACTTATTTTTACCCTAAAAAATACAAGACAGAATGAACTTGTGAAATTTGCCCTATTCTCCCATTGAGGCTTCATTATGATAATTATTAGTCAAAACATATTTTTTGAATGTCTATGTCCTCACCTGTTTGTATGTCCATAAAGGAATGATACTGTTTCATCTTAGTATCTTCAGCTTGTGGTAGTGACTCTGGACATGTGGATACCCCATAAATATTTGTCATTTGAATAAATAGAAAAATGTGATTGGATCAGTTTTATAAAAAAGAAAGTTTGGCTAGCTATTCAAATATTTCTCAAAGAATTAACTTGAGAAAACTTCACTCTTATGATAGTATCTAGTGTAGAAGTAGTTTTTCGTTGATATTTTATTTAACAACTCTTAAAGGCAGGAATAGATTAATAAAACATACTAGTAAAGGTTTTTTGGAAGTGTTTTAAGGATAAACTCATTTTTTCAGGGAAAACATTTTTTTTTTAACTTTATAATTGTGAAGACAGCTTTGAAAAGAACTTTCAAGGACTTATATTTGGAAAACACCTGAATTTTTTTTTTTTAACACCTGAATTTTTTATAGTATAACTGGTCCAAGAGGCACAAGTTAGATAGCAACCTTTGTCATTAAAATACTACTGACGGCTGTAAATCTTTAGCCAAAGTGGAAGTTGGTAGAAAGTAAACACTGCCACCAAGTGGTGGTATTTAGAAGCTCTAGTCACTTGGAAATAGATAATTGGCCATTTTCTTTTCGACAGTTTTCCATCCAGTTATTGTAACAACAATCAAACTTCTGTGGCACCCGTACCATCTGCTTCATCAAATGTGATTGGTTCTTCTGCCTTGACTTCAACAAGTGGCCTAGTAATCGCCTCTCCTACCAACCTCATTGACCTTAAGGAGTGCAGTGGCAGTAGGAAGGCCAGGGTTCTGTATGATTATGATGCTGCAAACAGTAGTGAATTATCACTTCTAGCAGATGAGGTGAGTAAGATATGGGTATAAGAAAACCTGTATCATAGATTGACATACCTTCTAGTATTATAATAAATTGTAAATTCCTCATTACTTATTTGGAAATAGTTTATCGCGAATACTTTCATATATTTAAGATGGTTATATTAACATTTTATTTAAAAAATTACTATTCTTTAACAAAATAGAATATCACAGAAATATTTTAAGCTTTTAACTGCTAAGTAACTAGAAGATTTCTAAAACTGCCTCTAATAAAATCCTTTATCTTTTAGCAAAGTTGATGATAATGTTTAAAGAACTTTAGTAATGAATAAACAGGTTATAAATCTGATTATTCTTCTATGTGCTTATTTTGTAACATAGTTAATAACTGGAAATATTTTATTTTGTAGGTGATCACTGTGTTCAGTGTCGTTGGAATGGATTCAGACTGGCTAATGGGGGAAAGGGGAAATCAGAAGGGCAGGGTGCCAATTACCTACTTAGAACTGCTCAATTAAATAGGTGGACTATGGAAAGATTACCCATCATGACACCAGTATTTATATACAATTAACTCTAAATAAAGCAGGTTTAAGTATCTTCCATGTTAATGTTCTTAGGAGACTGAAAAGAAAATACCAGCCATCAGAAACCAGCCTTTCTGCCAATAAAATTGCATGGTGAATGTTTCATTACAGAATTTATGTTAGTGCTTTCATGCCAAGAATGTTTTCTTACAAAATTCTCTTTCTACTGAGGTTTCACTAATAAGCAGCTTCTACTTTTGAGCTCCAACTTAAAGCAGAAGAACTGTTTTCTACTGAATTTTTCATTATTGGCAAGCTTTTTCTTTTATGTAAAATAAATTTATTGTGAATTGATATCAGTGACTCATTTATTAGGTATAATTAATAGCCAAAGAATAAAATTAAAATTTGTTTTAAGCTTTTGGTTTAAAAAGAGCTCTAAGATATAAGCCTCTTTTGTGGAAGATATAATATTTCTGAATGTTTCCATAAACAGAAATGCAGTTATACCATGTTTACCTTGTTTTCCAACAGAAATTGAATTATTTCAATATTATATCTCAGTGGTTTATTTTGGGGGGTTTGGGGGTTTTTATTAAACACTACTGAATGATTTCTTCTAAATTTAAGAAAAACTAGTCCTTGAAAAGCATTACCATGTTACTCTGGTATATTTTCAGTTAAGGTTCTAAAACATCTGGAACAAGTTCAATTCGCTAAACTGTTTTTTTAAGATTGTTCAGTTGGAACAATTTTTAATGCATAATCAGAATCGGATCTGTTAAGAACATACTTCAGTAGAGAGAATTTCTTCTTACAGAACAACAAATCCTTATCAAAAATATGGATTAGTGCAACTACACCCATCAAAGAGGAATATTGTATACAAACAGAATACATCTTTGGTTACTCTGAGCCTACTAATTTTGAATATTTATTAATGAACTTAGGTTATCTTGATCAGAATCCCTGGTTATGAAACACACTCATGAAATTATTAGTGCCACACTTGCAGTCAGAAAATTGCTATTTGGACCATTGCTGTGAGTCAGATTGTTCCCATATTAGGACTGCTGCATTCATTCTCATTCATTCATTATTCATTCATTGTTGAGGGCCAGGCACTATGCTGATAACTGGGGATATTATCTGTATCCCCAAGATGCACAGTCCTTCCCCCTGCAGACCTTAAAGACCAGTGGAGAATACAGAAAAATAAGCAGTTGCCATATAACAGAGTCCATGTCATGATAGAAGAAATACAGGGTACTGTGTTTGGGAACTTTGGGAGTCACCTAATTCAGATTTGGGGAGTGGGAGATGGTTTGGAGAGGAAGTGTTCCAGGCGGAGAGAAAAATTATGTGCCAGGCCTGGAGCCAAGAGAATGTAGCATATTCTGACAATAAAAGTTTAGTCTGGCTTACACAGGAAGTGCAAAAGTGTAGTTCATTTCTTCTAAAAATGTTAATGTATTGAAATATTTTTTGGTACTTTAAAAAATGATGAACACTTAACACAAAAGGTGTTTTAAAATGTGTTTAAGAGCTCCTAATTAAGAGCTTTGTAAATGTGTTGATAATAATTCAGTTCACAGTCAAACTTTAACAGTAGTTGTTACCCTCTTATTTCTGTGCTGAGACACATTCCTCGGCAGTTTTATAATTGTACAAAGATACTTTGATTCACACTGTGAATCACCATACTCTTAACCCCAAAAGCTGTTCAAGCTCGTTAGCTAGCTATATCACCAAGTGAGTGAGTGAGCTTTTTATTTCCCCAGAAAGGAAGTTCTACAGGCAGCCTGGAGTACAATCTTTTGTGTGACATGAGTCCAGGTTTAGATTTTAAAAGATCATACAAAAAATCCAGGTCAACTCAAACAGCAGCTATAAATTAGGTTTATGAGAAGTAGAGTAGTAAAGGGGGAAAAAGTACAGGTACTGGAGTGAAATGGCCCTGGGTTCAAATCCAGTCTTCCTCACATCCTGTGCTCTTTGAGCTTGGACTCCATTGTATAAACTGTTGTTTCATTATTAGTAAAATAGGGATAATAATTATGCCACCTTAAGGTTACTGTGAGGATTCTATAGCAAATGTTAACTTGTATGGTAAGTCATTTTTAGGGAAAGGTTTGACACGTAGTAGAAACATTCTATAAATACCAGTTTCCCTTTGTTAGCCCCTGTAAACTTCCTGACCAATCCAGAGTGTAGGCCTTGTTTATGACTGTGTACCAGAGATACCTTTTATACCCACGCTCCATTCTACTCATCAACCCTGTCCTCCACCCCATTTAAATCAGACCTAGATTTAGGTTTAACCTCACTGCAGCCAGCATGAGTTTTTATCAGAACCTCCTGTTTTCCATCAAATGAATGTTGATTATAATAACCCAATAATGTGCAGCAGCCTTCAATAATGTTAAGGTTCAAATGCTTCTTGTGCCTTTGTCTACCACATATCCACCATAATATGTGGACTTGTTCTTATGTTTGTTGCTTTTTTATTTTAAAGGGGTTTTGTTGTGGGGGAGGGGGATTTGGTTTTGGTTTTTGTGGGTTTTTTATTTTGGTTTTGACTTATGAAGTCATGGTTTTAATTTTTACTCAGGTAAAAGCCCATAAAGGTTCTTAGGCATGGAAGAAAAGCTTGGGAAGGCTAATAATTCATGGTGCAATTTAAAATTATTTAAATAAGCTCTGTGCCCCTGTTACTATACCTAAAAGTATAGTAACATGTGAAGGATGCACATATGAATGAAATAATAAACTTGGAAATAATTGTAGGCTCTTTTACAGACAAAAATGATTGGATTATCTCTACATTTGTTCTCAAAATAATCTAACCTAAGAGGTCGTGGTGTTAAATTGTTTTTTATGGTGCTAGTCAGAAAAATGCATATTGTCAGACGTTAGGTTCCAGAAGTGGGAATGTGCCTCATTCTGAGTAACAGGAGAACTAAGAAACCTGAGTCTAGGGTCGCCAGTGGGTGAGAGTCCATCCTCATAGTCTGCCGTTCCCCACCAGAACAAAGGGACAGAATGTGAATGGAGGGGCTGGTGTGGGAGGGCATTTCGGAGATACACTGGGAAAGATGACAGAGCACAGGACAGGGAGTAACAGTTTTGTTTACCCAGAGAGGCCCAGCTTACCTCCATGCGTTGACTGGATTCCTCAAAAAAATCTCTTCCCTAACCCCCAAATGCTTGAAATTTTGAAATCTGTTGCTGAGTATGTAGCACTTAAAGCCTGAGTAAGGAGCCACGTAATAGCCAGCTAGCTTTGCCTCAACTCCTCCTCCGGATGACGCAATGGCTCCTCAAAAGGGCAGGAGAGAGTTGTGCCCTTTCTCTTACATTATCCTAATTAGGAAGTCTATTCAGGGGGCACCTGGGTGGCTCAGATGGTTAAGCATCTGCCTTCGACTCAGGTCATGATCCCGGGGTCCCGGGATCGAGCCCCACGTCTAGCTCCTGACTCGGCGGGGAGCCTGCTTCTCCCTTGCCCTCTGCCTCTCCCCTGCTCATGCTCTCGCTCTCTCTCTGTATCTCTCTGTTTCAAATGAATAAGTAAAATCTTTAAAAAAAAAAAAAAAAGTCTATTCAGTAGGGCAGTGGTTCTCTGTGAGACCCCAGGACAGGCAATTATCAGCATTACCTAGGGACTTGTTTCAAATGCTAATTCATATTTCCAAGTACTTTCTACCTTTACGTGTGCTGAATTTTTTGTCCTGAAGAGGCTGTAGAGCTAGTCTTAGTTCTTCCATGTGGTAAGACAAAAACCGTCTTCTGATCTTCACTGTATTCTAGCACTGTCATAATTAGATAGTTTTATAATTTATTTGATTAGTGTGTATCTGTCAGTCTAGAATGTAGGCTCGCTGAGGTAGAGGCTATAATTCTTTTATCAATGAAATTTCCAACTCTTAGTACAAGACCTAGCACATTGTATGTACTCAATAAATGTTTGTCAAATGAAAGGGGAAAATGCAATTCCTAAGGCTTATCCAAGATCTACTGAATTAAACTCCGGAGGGAGGGGAGCGCCCAGCCATCTGTTTTTACAAGTTTGAGAAACACTTCAGTAGAACAACAAAAACTTGCCTTCCACCTTCAGGGACTATCTGACATCACTTGAGAAATTCTCCCTGCCTTACTCACTGTCACCCAGCACTGCTCTCTCAAGTGTGGAGGCGCCTTGCTGGGCTGTATTACAAGTGCGTGTGATGGAATAAGGGTATGCTTAGCATAAGGAAGGGAAATAGTACTTGAAATGCCAGGACTCGGTTGCTGTGGAAGGTTTCTTGGGAATGGATCCCGTAGTCTGAAGAAGGGTAAGCACTACGACCATGCACAGTTCCACTTAACACAGTGACAATTTGACATCAAAGCACCCTGACAAACCATGAAAGAGGTTTCAGACTAACGTTTACATCCCTGTGCCTCAGGTTGCTAAGCTCTTCCATTCCTACTTCACAGGGGACTTTTTAAGAATTGTTAATGCTTTTTTAATAATACAAATCATCGATGTGTTGGTAAAAAGGAAAAAAATGAAAATTTAGTTTAAAAGAAAAATAACCTATAATCCCACCATCTGGGAGAACTGTTATTTAGGTGTATAGCCTTCCAAACTCTCTGTGCATTTATAAATTTTTTTAAATGGAATCAAGTTGTACATACTGTTTTGTAACTTCTTTTCACTTGACAGTACCATAACTATCCTGCTGTGTCAAATATATTTCTACATCTTTTTAATGGCTGCATGGTATTCCATCATATGTGCCACATTTTATTAAACTATTGTTGATTTTTAGGTTTCCAATTTTTCACTAATAAACTGCTTTAAAGAACATCATGTTGCTAAATCTTTTGTGTGTTCTTAATACTTCCTTAAGATGAATACTTGGAAATGGAATTGCTTGTGGAGAGGATATGCCAGTTTTTAAAAGCTTTTGTTACTGCCACTTTGCCCCCTACAAAACTCACCAATTTACACCTATCAGTAGTATATTTAAAAAAAAAAAAAACTGTTTCTTTTGAAGGGCTTCCAACCATACATTCTTAGGGCCTTCAGTTTAAAAATAAAGTGCAAGAGGAAGATAAAAAGACCTTACAAAATTAAAACAAGATCAGTCTTAAGTTATTCCAACATGACATTTACCGTTTTACCTTCTCTTAGGTGTTTTGTGATCCTTTGGGAATGTTTGTAGTACTAGCTTGCTCCTTGCTTTAATTCAGTCTCCCAGAAGCACAATCACATTTCTGACTTTTGCTCAAACGGTAGGAGAACAATCTTAAGTAGACTGGAATCTTGTGGTAAGTCTGATGCAGACTTCTTGTTGGTTTTAGAGAGCATAGCCATCAGAGGGGAAAAAGAAACTTTGGAAGGTAAGCAGAACATGGCTCTCCCACTTGGTTTCCTGGTTCTGTGTCGGTCAACCTCTTTGAGCCTGTTTGCTCAACTCTAGAATGAGAATAATACAAACTCCCTTGTAGGATTGAAAGGATTACCATGTTATGGACAAAGTGGCTGGCACCTAGTAGATAATTTATTAGGATTTCTGGCTGAGTGTGTTAGAGCAGTTGCTGTTATCAGCCTCTATGGAGTAAATATCACTGCCATTGCCAAATCTTCCTGGAAGCTGTCATAATAAATGGATATTGCCTGGGGCGCCTGGGTGGCTCAGTCGTTAAGCATCTGCCTTCTGCGCAGGTCATGATCCCTGGGTCCTGGTATCGAGCCCCGCATCGGGCTCCCTGCTCGGCGGGAAGCCTCCTTCTCCCTCTCCCAACGCCCCTGCTTGTGTTTCCCTCTCTCACTGTGTCTCTCTCTGTCAAATAAATAAAATCTTTAAAAAAGTAAAAAATTAAAAAAAATGGATATTGCCTGGTATAGCCTATTTTACCTACAAAATCTGGTTCTTTAAAAAGCTGCCTGATTTTTCCACAAACTCAGGTATTCAAGTATCTAACAAGATAAGACTCCCAGACAAGGTGTATAATAGATTTCAACTACTGTGCTTTTATAGCCATGTATCAAAGTGGTAATCATATTATTCTAAAATACTGAGCTGGACATGCCAACCATGCCAAACCTCCCCTTCTAATTGAAACTAGCCCACACTTGGCTGCGAGAAGCTGGCACAGAAGGCTCAGCTCAGTAAAGGTAATGGCAATTAGCAAAGTCCCAATAGCATCTCCAGAACTGGAGATCAGAATTGATCTCTAATGAAAGAGATTTATTTAGACATGTATCTGAACTCTAAAAGTTGCTTAGCAGTGGGGCGCCTGGGTGGCTCAGTAGTGAAGCGTCTGCCTTCGGCTCAGGTCATGATCCCAGGGTCCTGGGATCGAGCCCCGCATCGGGCTCCCTGCTCCGCGGGAAGGCTGCTTCTCCCTCTCCCACTCCCCCTGCTTGTGTTCC